CTTGCTATGCACCTCTTATTCTGGACTATTGTCATACCTAATCATATATTCCTTTTAAACAATTCTTTTCCTCATTTGTTTTAATGCAGTGCTCATTATTTACCTCCGTTGTTGCTTTTTAGTACTTTGGAAGGTCCCTGACAGATTTTCCCAGTGCAATTCGTCTTCAGATTTCCTGACTTCTGGTGCCAAGAGTGTTGACTGTGGAGTCAAGCAAGGTGTAATTGTTAACAACCTCCATCCATCTCTTCTCCATCTATTATGGTGCTTCCAATTGGCCCAGTGCTAAGAATTTTTGTCTTCTTTATTTTGATCTTCAATCCACATTGAAGACTACAGTCTTGACTACTGATGGAAAAGCTCTCAAGAAATATATATTTTCCAACTGTTTCCACGTTCTCTTCCAGGACATCTAACTCTGTGGTTTCCGGATTCCTGCAGGCGCAGGCGCAGCACTGTTCTTCCCAAAATCTCCTCTTTAACTGTCTTCCCGTAGTTTTTTCCCACTGCTTTCCAGCAAACTGCCTGTATTTTCCTGTGGGAGATCTACAGGGCTGGAAAGGTTTAGTTAGTTATTTCCTTGAACGTGGTTTAATTAAGGCTTTCAAGCACTGAGAAAACAGAAGAATGTGTCAGAGAATTCAGAGCTGGGAAAATCAGTAGTGTGTGACAGGAAAAAAACCCCTCAAGCCTTTCTTTAATCGAGGGTTGGGCTTGAAGACGCCTTAGCGACGCTCTCCTCCGGCCAACAGGCGGCGCGCTGTGAAGCTCCGGAAGTCGGCCAGAGCAACGCGCATGCGCGCTTCTTCTTGCTTAGTCTTTACTTGCTTGTCTCCTGCGGCTACCCGTCCTCATCCGAATTCAGCCCGGGAACTGAGTCAGAGGAACTGGGTTTGCGCCGACGGGAGCTGGGGATTTGCCAGCTCCACATTTCCCTGGCGCGGGCAAGATGTGTTCGTTAAGCTTATTCCCCCCGCCGCCACCCAGGGGTCAAGTCACTCTATACGAGCACAATAACGAGTTGGTAGCCGGCACTAGCTATGAGAGCCCGCCTCCGGACTTTCGAGGCCAGGTGGTCTGGGCGAGGAGTGTGGGGGACAAGGAGTAGTGTCAGTGAGAATGAGGGAACCAGGCGCTTGGTGGGAGTGGGGTGAGTAAAACTGATGGGCTGGAAATAGACTACCAGAAAGGAGATAATAAAGGAGGCTGAGATGTGTTTTAGGGGCGAGATCGGAAGAGAAGGTGCTGAGAGTGCCAAAGAACTAAGGATGAAGAGAATGAGGGCGAATATGGGGGATGTGAAAGGCAGTAGAAAAGGAGAGATAGAGTAGAAAATGAGATTAGGGACAGTACAGAAAATAAAAATACTGACAACTTGGAAGACAACCTGTAATAATCCCCCGCCCCGTAGTGTACTTCAGAAAGTAAGAGAAGGGGGACCTGTTATGTGAAAATGAGTTAAGACTTGTTTTCCACTTCTACAAGTTTTACATTTTGGGAAATGGTTGTCTAAGACCCATGGCCCTTGGCCTAGGCATGGGTTGGAGAGGGCAGGGAGGGAGTTTACCGGAGATCTGGGAAACAGACTAACTGTTACTTCCCTAACTTTTGGGCTGTAGTGGATCAATCTTCCTGTCCTACACTTGACTAAGGATCCCCTGAAGACTCCTGGAAGGCTGGACCATGGCACACGAACTGCCTTCATCCACCACCGGGAGCAAGTCTGGAAGAGATGCATTAATATTTGGTGAGACACGGCATAGGATCTAGGCCAGGGCCTGCAGGGCTGGCTAAAAGAAGGTTACCACCCCTCTTCCTTGGGCTGCTCTGCAAAAGATTTTATCCAAACTCTTGCCCAAACCTCTCTTTTTGCTCCCCCTTCTTCATATTTAAGAAATTTTTTAGGGGAGCAACAGCTTACAATTAGGATAAAATTCTTTTGTCAGGACAGCTTCTGAGGTGTGCTCCAAGGTCCTCTGACATTCAGCTTCTCTGCTTTGGAGTGTTGTGTTGCAAAACTTTTAGTTTCGCCAGTTGTCTTTCCCTCCAGCCTTCTAGTAAGACTGGACTAAGGCTCAGGAATCTTTGACTCAAATGGATTCACTGCATTCTCTTCTTCTTGCTGGTAGCAGATTCTCCAAAGCCAAATTTCTTTAATATTAAATTATCCCTCCTTGTTGTGGAAGTCAAGACTATAAAACAGTAGTAATTCCTTTTCATTTCTAATGACTATATTTTCTGATTTGGTCATATGAACCTGCTCTGTATTATCTCACTTCATGTCTTTACCAGTTCTGAGCTCTACATGAAACCCATCTAAGTTAATAGGGTGCACTGAATAATCTCCTACACAAGGTCGTTCATGTTGTACATTCTTGAGTGGAACTCTAGGTTTCTTAGTGGTGCCACTTTCCAGCTATGTGCCATGGACACGCAATCCCTTCGTTTCATCATCTGAAAACTGGATCCTATCTTGAGAGGTTGTAATGATAATTGAATAAGTTGATAGAAATAAAGCACTTAATTAGCAGTGTCTGGGACGTATTAATGTCTCATTTTTAACCATCGTCATCTGTAGGATGAACTCCTAAAGATTAAGTTCCTGGATTCAAATATAAATTTAAAAATTTATGAATTGATGACTACTAGCCCTCTCTTGAAATTGTACATTTTATAGTCAGTCCCACTGACAGTGTATGAGAGTGCGCATTTCCTACTACATGTATTCTTAAATGCTATATTGAATTGCAGTGCAGTTTCATGTGCATGTCTGTGTCAGTGAAGTTACCCATCAGTTCACTGCCTTAAAAACCATTCGATATGAAGCTCTTTCTAGCCTTCTCTCTTTGTGGCAATTGCTTTGTCTTTTTCTGATAGCCCTTAAGTGTTGGTATTCCTGGGGCTCCGTCTTAGCCTGCTTCATTTCCAAAACCAAAACCCAAACCCAGTGTTTTCAAGTTGATTCTGACTCATGGATTTGTATTGCATTTCCAAGACCAAATCTTAATCAGAGGAGTCTGCTTATCTTTCTCCCATGGAACAGCTGGTGGGTTTGAATTGCCCAACTTTCAGTTAGCAATGAAACTTGCTACATACTACATTACCAGAGCCCCCTAGTTGCTTCTCAATACTCTTTATCCCTGGATTTGGGATTAATGCTCCTGGGTGTTCAGTTGTCTGCTAAACATCCTCATTTGGATATTCCCCAGGCTTCACACACTGAGTGTGTTCAAAACCAATAATTGCCCTCCTTAATCTTTTCCTGAGTTTGTCAGCTCAAAAAGCAGCCTCACCATGCATTGAAGAGCAGGTGTTTTGAGTGTATCTGTGGGGCAGAAAGGTTGGCTCTTAGCTCTGTTGGGTATTCTCTGAGTCACTTTGGACATATTCATTAACCTCTGAATGCCTCTATTCTTCCATCTGAAATTGCAGATGAGGTCTGTACCTACTGTTGTGATGACTAAATTAGATAATGCCTGCAAATCACTCAGCCTGACACTTTATAAGTGCTTAGCAGTAACAGTTGTTATAATTATTACCTGGGTGTTACCTTTGATAACCGGCTCTACTGTCCTTATAATTAGCATTCAAATTCTTTTCACTCAGGTTTCTGTATTTCACTCAAATTTTTCATCTCCATTTTCACCCTTAAAAAAAAAATTCTTGAAGTAGCTTCTTTTTTCTTTTTAAAATTTTATTTATTTTTAATTATACTAGTTATTTACAAAATTCAAATACATTGCTTTCCAGAACAGATACCCTTCATCAAATTGTACAACTCCATGATTAATCCACCCCTCCCCCTGCACATCCTCATCCCTCTGCTTCCACCCTCCCTTGAAGTGGCTTCTTACCTGATCTCTTCATTTTTGTCCCCTCTGTCTGCAGCCAGACTTGGTGTAATCAGTTTATTCTTTTGCTTAAAACCTTTCCTCTGGCTTTCTGTTCATTGTCCTAGGGCACGTCCTCCTTGACCTGCTTATTAAGTCCTGCAAAACGTCTGAACCTTGCAGTACCTGGAATATAGTCAGCACTCATTAGGTGTGAATGCCTTTGATTTTTTTGTAATTAGAGCGTGAGTACTTACTCAATATGTGCCAGTACATCACAAAAACTTGTGGCTCATTTACACCTCATAACAATCCTATTATTAGCCTCATGGTTTTTGCCTCATTTTTCTAATGAAGAAACAGGCATAGGCAGGTTAATTAACTCTTTTAAGATCCCATAAGTAAGAAGCAGAGATGCTAGAGTTTGAGTTATTTGCTTGACTCAAGAGTACACACATAGAACCGCTTATTAGTAAGTTACTAGAATTTTATCAGTATTCTTTAGTATCTTTTTTAAATTTTATTGGTTTGCTTACAAAGTTTATATACATTCTGTTTTACATTATTTCTCATTCGTATTGCTTCATACAATCATTCTCCTGCATTACACTTTATACAATCACCGTTGAACCTGGCCCATTATTACACTGTCTTTTCACTTTTTATTTATTTAACCCTTCAAATTTCCTTCCCCTCCTCCCTCCACCCAACAAACTGCGCAACCCTGTGGTTTCACCCCTAGTCTTCCTCTCCTCTCTGCTCTACCATACGTGTTTTATTAGTTATCCTTCGAGTTTTACAATAGTGATCTTAGGCAGTGTTTGTCCTGATGAGACTGAGTTTTCAATCAGCATAATGCTCTCCAGTCTCTCTCAAGTTATGTACTATTTTTCAGAATTGTTGCTCGAGTGCTTCATAGTATTCCATTGTGTGAATGTACTACAGTTTCTCAGTCCATTCAGTTGTGATTGGACGTTTGGTCTGTTTCCATGTCCTTGCAATGGTGAATAACAACTGCTGTGAACATTGGTGTACAAATCTTGGTTTGTGTCTCAGTTCTAATTTCCTTGGGGTATATATTCCTAGTAGTGGAATAGCTGAGTCATATGGAGTTTCTATGTTCAGCTTTTTGAGGAAACGCCAAACTGTCTTCCAGAGTGGTTGTAGCATTGTACAGTTCCACCAATAGTGTATGAGAGTTTCCACTTCCCCACATCCTCTCCAACATTTATTACTTGCTGTCCTATTAAACTTTGCTCTCCTACTGGGGTGAGATGGTATTTATCTCATTGTGGTTTTGATTTGTATCTCTCTTATTGCTGGTGATTTTGAGCATTTATTTTCATGTATCTGTTGGCCATCTTTTTTCCTTTGTGAAAAGTCTTTGCATGTTTTTTTGCCCATTTTGTAATTGGGTTATTGGTCTTTTACTTCTAGAGACCCAGGAGTATTCTGTAAACTTCCATTATGAGTCCCTTTTCCAAGATGGTATTGCCAAATGTTTGTTCCCAGTCTGTAGGTTTTCTTTTCATCCTGTTAGAAAAGATTTTTGATGAGTACAGAGATTGAATCTTTAGAAAATCCCATTCATTAATTTTATCCTCTCCAGATTGTGTCTTTCTGGCTGTATTTAATCTCTTTACAAGACAAGGCCTTCTAAGCTTGATCCCAGTTTGTCTCTTATGAAGTTTATTATTTGGGGGTTTAATCCCAGGTCTCTGATCCACCTTGAGTTGATTTTTGTGTATGGTATAAGATGTGGATCCTGCTTCAGCTTTCTGCAGGAAGCAGTCCAGTTTTTCCAGCACCATTTGTTGAAAAGGTGGTTGTCGTTTTCCCATTTGATAGGTTTTATTTTATAGTATCCTTTCAACATTTATATGCTGTTAGATACATTTAGCTATATGAACTTTTTACTTGCATGTTTGAGGTAAGAGCTTAAACGTTAACCATGCTTTTTGTTACTGGCATAATTGACATGCAACGGCCTGTGAGTACCCTTGTTTTCAATGCATTTATTGAGTGAATGAAACTTGTAGAGGGAGGATTGAAGAAATTAGAGGAATCTGACTCACAACTTCCTCTCCTTACCAGGCGTGATGTGGGCCTTTTCGGGGTGCTGAATGAAATTGCAAACTCAGAGGAAGAAGGTAACTATTTTTTCCTCAGCCTTCTCCAGCATTGTGACATTTATTTCTCCTTCATATTCTCCCTGAACTTCCTCATCCCAACAGTTTGTTTTGGCCAAGTTGCCTTTACAGGGGTCTTCTCTCCTTCACTCTATCTACTTGATTCACATAACCCAGAATAGATGACCTCTTAAGGGGCAGAAGGTTGTAGGCAGTGCTTGTCTTTGACTTAAGAGAGTACCTAGTAAAAGAGAAAGAGAGAGTACATAGTAAGGGTCCTGCATGTTTTAATCACATCTGCTTTGTCAACCTCACAGTGTTTGAGTGGGTGAAGACGGCATCCATCTGGACGTTGGCACTTTATGGCTGGGCCTCCTCCCTCCATGGGTCCCTATTTCCCCATCTTTCTGTAAGTTTAACTTACTCTCATGTCCTTTCTTACCCACATCTTTTAAAATTGCCTAAGGGAGCTCTGGTGACCTAGTGGTAAAGAGCTGCACTGCTTACGTAAAGCCACACAGTTTAAATCCACCAGGTACTCCACAGTAGAAAGATGAGCAGTGTCCTCCTGTGTGATTTACTGTCTGAAAATCCACTGGAGAGTCAGCCATGGGTCGATTCACACTCAATGGTGCATAGCAACATCTGAAGGTTGAGTGGGAAGAGTCAGTGAAGGGGAAGACTGTAGAGGGTGGCAGAAGTATGATCTGGCTCCCCAGAGGGCATGTTGAAGGGATGAGCTAGTATGTCCTCTATCTAATGTGTTCTCTATCTGACTGTCCTTACAGCTTAGGAGTGAAGATATGATTGCTGAATTTGCCCAAGTCACAAATTGGTGAGTGTACAAGCTCTGGGACTTTTGTGGGAAACAGGTCTTGAATTTTGGAACTTCTTTTAAGGGAAAGAGATATCAAGGCAGAAACTCCTCCAACCCCTTTCCTTACTGTCAGGATATTCTCACTCCTGCCCCTCAGAGAATCTGATCTTCTGGGCAGAGGTATGGCAGGTACAGGTACAAGTCTAGATTCCTCATACCCACTCTCACTCCAGGAACAACTGTTGCTTGCGGGTCTTTGCATGGCATCCTCACACCAATAAATTTGCAGTGGCCCTGCTGGATGACTCAATCCGTGTATATAATGCCAACAGGTATGTGGGGGCTTACCAGGAAGCTCTGACTCTTCACTCCATGTGTCAGCCTCCCTTGCCCTCTTCAGCCTTGGTTTCAGGTCCCAGGGAAACTTCTAGCTTGTTCTGCAGGACTCCTTCCAAAAAATGGAGTCAGAGAGGCTACATAATTGGGTGTATCCATTTCAGATCCAGTCCTAATACAATGTGCTCTGTCACACAATACTCTTAGGCCCTGGGTGAATTCTCTTCAGCTGTTCTCGGGACCTCCTAAACATGGTGTCCCTACCACGACTCAGTCCTTTACCCCTTCAATCCAGCACAATAGTCCCCTCTCTGAAGCACCGGCTACAGCGAAATGTGGCAGCTTTGGCCTGGAAGCCCCTCAGTGCGTCTATCTTGGCTGTGGCCTGCCAGAGCTGCATTCTGATCTGGACCCTGGACCCCACCTCCTTGTCTACACGGTGAGTCTTTGCAGCCTCTAACTTAGCTTGGCCTGAGAGTCACAGCTGTGTTAAAAGTGGTAGGTGGTAGGGAACTTTGGTGGCCTAGTGGCAAGAAGCTGCACTGTAATCTCAGAGGTATGCGGTTCAAATCCAACAGATGCTCTGCTGGAGAAGGAGGGGCAATCTCCTCCTGTACCAGTCAGATCTGATTTGATGGTACACACATACAAAAATAATAAAATTTAAAAATTTAAATAAAAAAAAAGTGGTAGGTGGTAAGGTGATGTTCTTGGTCCTTTAGAACTTCCCAGAACTACAGGGAGGGCAGGTCAAAGCCTCGGTGGAGGTGCTAAGATGACACTAATTTAGAGACAGGGTTGGACCAATGGGAACTGTGAGACTGTAACTGAGGATCATGGAGTGGACAGACAGACTTTCTTTTATAGAGGACATTACAGGTGTATAAGAAGTGGGAGAGAGTGAAGAGGATATAAGTTGAAACCAATGAAAAATCTCCATGGGAACTAAATCAGTATAAAACCAGAATCTGATTTTTTTTTTAAATTTTATTATTTTGTGTGTGTGTTTGTACTGTCAAATCAGATCTGACTGGTACAGGAGATTGCCCCTCCTTCTCCAGCAGAGCATCTGGTGGATTCGAACCACATACCTCTGGGATGGAAACTGATTTTTTAAATGATGTTGAGTAAAGAAGAAAATCTTTTGGACTGCCTATTTAAGACAAAAGAGAAAAACTAACTGTATTTTTTTCAGATTAAGAAAGATATGAAAGGAGATATAAAAATTATAAAAGAATATTTAGGGCAAAAGAAATTTAAATATATAAAGGAATTTTTAAAAAAAATGGAAATACTTGGTTTTCTAACAAAATAATTATTACCAAAATAACTATGCAATATCATCTCACCCAGCAATAATAGCAAAGTTCACACAGTAGCAAACAACATATGCTGGCAATGTTGTAGAGAGATTAGAACTCATATTCACTGCTGATGAGAATGTAAAATGGTACAGCCATTAAGGAATGGAGTCTTGCACTTTCTCAAAAAGTTGGTAATAGAAATACCATTTGACTCAGCAATTCCACTGCTGGGAATATTCCCCCCAAAAAACAATGACTTTACCAGATGTATGCACACCCATGTTTATTGCTGTGTTGTTCTCAATAGCAAAGAGATGGAAGCAATCCAAGTACCCATCAACAAATAAATGGATAGAAAAACTATGGTATATTCACACAATGGAATATTATGCACCAGTGAAAAACAACAAACTCTTAAAATGTTACACAGCATGTGGAAGGCTGAAGGATATTATGCTGAGTGAAATATCTCAGTCACAAAAGAACAAATACTGCATAACGCCACTGCTGCATAATAGGACAGACATGGAGGGGTTGGGGGGAGAATGGGGAAAGAGCAGACAGATAATAAACACTGCATTAGATCAGATGGAGGGAAGAACTGTCTGAAAGGAATATATAATTAGGCATTATATGTATGACAGCCATATGGAACAAGGGATGCTTTCAGGGAGGGGAAAGAAAATGCAACAATGGAAAAAATAAAACATTTTCTATATGGCGACGTTGGCACAGGATAGAACAGCGTTTAGGGCTCTTGTACTTAGGGTCCCTATGAGTTGCAACCACATAAGTCGATGAGTTGATGGCACATAACAACAAACTAAAAACCAAAATATTAATTACCAGTTTGGACTCTAGAAGAAATTGGAAAATGTGAACTCCATCACTAGAAAAGATGCCAAGCAGAGATTGTTTACAAGACTTTTATCTAACTGTAAAATAAAAGTAATCTCTGAATGTATTACATGCTTTTAGATCATAGAAAAAAATTGGAAAACCTTCTGATGTACTTACCTTTGTTTTTAATAAATCTTTTCTTTTGGGATAAAAGAAATTTTTTTTTTCTTCCCCACTTTTTTTCCCTATAATTATATTTTATTAATTTTCATAAACATTT